CACCCAAGTAGACACATATTATTGTACAAGCTAAAAATGGGCGTGAATAGGTTCCACTGGTGAAGATTTTTCACTAAACACTCGCCACCACACACGTGCGTTCGCTATCTTCAAAACCATCAGCTAACATCCCATATACAAATCGATATATATTACTTGTTGAAAAATGATTTAAAAAGCCGTCCTTAACTATTGTCTTAAATTTCGTCTCGATTAGTTTATCTGATCATGGTACTAATTATTCGGTAGTAATATAGAGATAAGAGAGATTCTCGAGATATCGGGTCTGACAGACACGATGGCTGCGTTGTTCGACATACCTTGATACCTTAATTTGTAAATGAAAGTAGTATTAAGTTTAGTTGTTTGTCTCCGAATAAGTCGCTTCCATTTTTAAGGCCCTATGCACRAGATTGCGGAATGGCCTTGAATATCGTATCTTTTTGAAAACGGTTAAGTGTGTACGCGGGCAAAAACGATTCCAAAATATACACAAAGACGTCTGGAAGAGGCTTAAATGTTCGTTGGATACTAGAGCGAACTAAAGTAAATTTTAATATTAAAAATGCCCCCCCCCCCCCCCAAATAAAAAGGAATGAAGAAACGATTTCATGTACAAATGTGAATAAAGCTAAAACGATCAGCAAAACGAAAAAAATCTAAAACACTGGTTTAGTTTTTTGGAGAATAAGAAGAACTTYCAAAGACCTTCACTAAGTTTACATAGATTTAGGTTCACTCACTCTTCRATTCAAGTTTTTCTTTAAAAAAATCAGACGTTTCCTGGTTTAAGTTTACTCACGTTTTATTTCAAGTTTTTCTTAAGTTGAGTGTSTAAGATCCTCATCGCGTTCTCAAAAACAGGTTTCAAAACTTCGAATGATAAAGGGTCCCACAACTAAACGTTCAAAACGTGGCACTCCACAGAAATGAACACGCGCGACGGAAATTGTTGACGATGTTTCATAATTTCGGGAAAGATTTTAACCTCTTTAACTCAAATAAGGAAATTATTCACAATCCACGACATCTTGATAATTTTACTTTTCTTGTCGTGTGGGAATATTTAGTCCATTTTGTGGATTTGACCAAGGTGGTCTTAATTATCTCCCAAGGAACCAGGAGACATCTGATTTTTTTTTTTTTTTTTTAACCATGAGTTATTATTGTCCTTGGCAGCATTCAAGATCTCATCTGTGAGAACTAATTTAGAATTTTGAGCATTCTTGTTTAGGATGGGGGTCAGAAGTGAAAAGTATCTTTTCATACCAAGCGAGTTTCTACTAAGAAAAATTCACATCTAAAATGAGCTTGAGTGTCTTGGGAAAGAATGCCAATGTCATACTAGTAAATCCTTTGAATTCTTAAGTCAAGATGTTGAAAATTTTGTTCAAAAAGTGGTCTACCACTTCTTTCTCTTTTACTCCGACGAAGGACTAGCGTTCGAAACGTCAGTAAGTTTTTTCATCTTTTCACGGTGTATAATTKACCTTTTCATCATTACTAATAATCTTATAGAGGAAACTCTTTCATTTTTTGATTATTTTCCAAAAGAACCTCTATAAACATAATGTAAAAATATATAACTAAATATAAAATGTTAGATAAAAACTATTTTTTATATATGAGCAGTGATCATGAAACATCTCTAGAAACTCGAGGTCATGGCATGTCTAGAACCCACARAACCCAGTGATCATCACCTTCATAATATTTCTCGTCTTCTACCGTCTGCTGTAGTTAATCAGATCAATGAGTTGAAAGATTGATGCCTGCGGTTATCTCGCTGGGGAGGATTTTGCGGTTTGGCCGAAAAAACTTGTGTTGCTTTTTGTGGTAAATGAGTGTGACAATTTACGAGGCGAAATGGCATGGAAGGACGTGCTAAAGAAGGCTGTGTTTAAACCTTTTTAAAGTTTAGGTTTGAGGGATGTTTGTGGCATTTTTTGGCCTTCCGTGACGCGGAGGCATTACCAGAGAAGGACCTGTTTTGTAGTTCTTTTTGTCTCATGCTGAGAATGAAGTTGCCTTTTCGTTATTAGTTTTGACATGTCTGGGGGCAAAAGATATTTTGATCCAGTCAGTTCGTGGGAATTCAGAGTCTATACATGTGTCTTCTTTCTTCGTTGCTTTCTAAGTGTTACTTGGTTTATTTTTTAACTTTCCGTTTTCGTTCATATACCGTTGCCTGCCTTTTTGTCTTTCTACTATTTTTTCTTCTCATTCACTCATTCATTTATTCTTACGTCCATCCATCCATCCATCCCTCCATCAATCCATCCCTCCATCCATCCATCCCTCCATCCATCCATCCATCCATCCCTCCATCCCTTCCTCTCTCCCCCAATCATCCACCCTTCCATCGCCTACCAACCAACTCACGGCAGTACGACACATGCATCTTTCTCATTAATACCTTCAATTACCTGCATCACCAGTTAACACAACATTTATCACACGATGTCACATCTAATTTACCGTCATTCGCTAATGACATCAATATGGCACGTCTACCTCCCGTAGGACCTCGCACAGATTCCTTAATATCTCARAACAAGTTGCACATGTACTTACGACCAGCACCACGCTGGGAATGACACCAAAAGGCACATGGTGTATAATTGGTCTAACGGCTGCGGAGTTTATGAGTTAAAGGGGCCGGTGCAAGTGATCACTAGAGAAGGGAAGGGAAGAGAGAAAAAAAGAAGAGGAGAGGGGAGAGGAGAGGAGAGGAGAGGAGAGGAAAGGAGAGGAAAGGAAAGGAAAGGAAAGGAAATATCTCAGAAATTTTTAAAAATTAAACAACAAAGCCAAATTTTAAAGAACTAACCTATACAAAGCTGATTAATTTTTTTTTGTGTAACGTCCAGTCAAAGATGAGCCTGTTCAATAACTTAGAGGGAACCAACCGGGTTAAATTTTAAGAAACTTAAGGCTTTTAAGCCAAGATTATGAGACCCGTTTGTCACAAGGCGCGGTSGTGGATTAACATTTTGATCTTAGTTCATGGGAAAATATTTGGAAAACGAAAATAAAAATCTGTATTGGAAATTGTGTTTGTATTTTGAAATTCAATGTAAGAATTAATTGTATTTATGCGAAAAGAGATGTATTGACTACAATAGGTGAAACGTGTTGGTTTTGCCTTGTTTTGGCTTCTAAAAGACTCTCGCATAATCTACCACGATGACTCGAGCTGTAATTCACTATGCAAAGTAAAGAAAAGTATTCTGCATTTATACAAAAAGAGATGTATTTGATGTTGGTTTAGCCTGGTTTTGGCTTCTAAAAGACTCTCGTTATAATTTACCGCGAGGACACGAGCTGCAATTCACTTTTTTCAAATGTTTTGTATTTTACTTCAAATTAAAAAAACAGCACCTCATAATTACGTCTTTTTTTTTTTTTGCACAAATTAAAATCAATAATTTGTAGTGATAATATTAATTCATTTGCTATGTTTTCCACACACGCTTCCAAGAATTATTTATATTTTTCTAAAATACTTCCGGCATTATCCGACATTATCTTTCAAGACATTTTTATTGATTTTTGTTATCATCTTTGCCATCACTAATTTACCGGATTGTTTGCTTATCTTTCAGTAGGATTCATTCATTTGTGTCAATTATCTTATCTTCTAGCTTATTTTCCTTGCCTCTTGTGTCGCGACCACCGCCAGACATATCAACGGACTGCAATATGTATATCTTATCAATGCTGCTCCGAATGAAGGTTTAAAGTTATTGCAAACAGGAAAATACGACTTCACAACAGTGTTGTTTACCATCATTTTCGTTATCAGCTACTAGAATTTTCTTCCTAGCGTTATTAACTTTGTACAAATCGACCTTAATAATTTCAAAGTTAGCACTTTCAATGAATTTACAGTGAATTCTTCAATATGGTAATATTTTCCAGCTATTTGGCTACATGAAACAATATAACTCTTTGTGAGCTAGAAAATATATTCCGTGATGTTTTATGAATGAAATTCTTCTGGAGCATTAGAAATCATTTTAAATTACCTAAATATGAGACCTCCTGCTATTCTGTTTTTCACTCACAGCTGGATCTCCTTCGTCTGTTTAATATTAGCTAGAAAAGCGATTGTGAACAACCTTCACATTTTCTAAAAAAACCCTAGGAATCCTACTTCCAAAATCAGACAATCTTTATCTTTTCATTCCTAGTCTTCTCGAAACAATCTAGAAAGTTTCTCATTCGTCAGAGACTTTTGTTTAAATTTCTTAGAATTTGGAAGATTAATTTAAAGTTAGACAAAAGCAGTTGGAGTCTTTTGAATTAAGCTTATYGTGCATTCTTTGAAAATTTCATCAAAAGTACAGGAATTCTTTAAGAATTGTTTTCGGTATATTTTTCGTCGTATGGGTCCGAACCCCATCTGACGAGCAGGAAATTTAGAAGGCGTTATTGACGTAATGATTYGACTTTTGGTCCGTTGAAGCGATCTGTAAGCCGATAAGAGATGCTTGGGGGCAAATGACTGATTATGATGCCGATAAGGCGATTTGGTTTGTATTATTGAGTAGTAAATAATGGTTAGGAATATTTGTGTTTTAAAACAATGTTTTAGGTAAATATGAATATTGTCGCTTGATTTTCGATGGTTGTTGGATAGTATTTTTGGAATGGTGTTCCCGCGTTATGCTTGGTCAGTGGATACTTCACAAGCAAGCATGCGCATCTTTTCCCGGTTAGTTCAGTGCGTAGATAAACTAATCCATGCGCAGAAAGGATAGTGATATTTTAATGGTTGGGTACTATTTTTGGAATGGTGTTCCCACGTTATGTTTGGTCAGTGGATACTTCAAAAGCAAGCAAGCGCAGCTTTACCTATAGTTAGTTTTGTGCGTGCATATACTAAATCGTGCGCAGAGAAAGAATATAGATATCCTRTTGTGAATGGCTGTTTGGGATCGGATGAATGGAATGGCCAATAGCAACGTATTTCTAATGACATTTTTCATTCTTTCTAGATTCCAGATTCCCTTGCATCAAAGAATCCACAATGTTCTTCCCATGTCCAAAATAAACATCATCTGCCCAAACCTGGCCATGAACGTGGACACCGTCCTTGATTACACGCCTAAGGAATGGCTGTACGAGAATCTTTGGATCGTCTCCAAGAAAAGCTACCATAAATGCAACGCTTCATCTCCCCGGACGGATCGACTTTTGCTCAAGTGCGACACCCCCCTGAATCTTAAATACTACACGGTGGTGTTTCAACAGTACAGCGCTACGCTGCAGGGGCTGGAATTCCCGGTCGGCGAAGAGTATTATTTTATAGGTGAGGTTTTTAGAATTGCCTTAGTTTGAGGAGTAGCATCGGCTAGGAAACCTGCATGTGGCCCTCGTTCCATCATCGAAATGGAATGGACTACTTCGACGATACAGCGGCCATCTTGGATTTCGCAATGCATTATGCCCAGGGGGCAAAGAAAGCTTTGTTACAGTAATGATGTCGATTGATATTAACAGCTAACTACGAGAGAATACAAAAAAAAGATGAATTAAGACGGCATATCGATTACCTTTAACCATAAAAGAAAGACAAACACAAAACTCTGTAAATTTTCCATCATCTTTCCTTGTTTTGCCCCCTGGCAAGATAGCCCTTCCATTGAGAAGTTGATTTTCGTGGAGGATGGTAACCCAGTGAAACCGGGGATAAACCTAACATTGCATTTTGATCTGTTTAGTGTGACACTTTAATAAAGGTTTTGATTTTTTACTATAGCAACGTCGGATGGCACCCRAGCGTCGCTGGATAATCGAGCAGGAGGCAACTGTGCTCGAGGAAGCATGAAAATGAAGTTTTATGTCTGTAAAAATGACCAAGGTATGTTGGTGTAGTGGTAGTGCGTGTGAGTGAGTGAAAATGTCCCGAATTAGTGGGAAATTAAAGAACGACAAGACAGAAGAGATAACTAGCTAAAAACTAGTGTGAGCTGCGTCGATGTTTCTAATGAAACAGTAATGATATCATAAAAGGTAAAAGTTTACACCGTGAAAAGATGAAAAAACATACTGACGTTTCTGACGCTAGTCCTTCGTCGGAGCTATTTTACTCCGACGAAGGACTAGCATCCAAAACGTCATTAAGTTTTTTTTATCTTTTCACGGCGAACGACAAGACACTTAAATAATGTCCGTAATAGCGAGGTGTCCGTAAGGCGAGAGTTCACTGTATCTGCGGTATTGTGATGTTTTCTGCTCTATCTTTTGTCGTGTTATCATAATCATCCAATTGTACAACTAATAGTTCATACTCATTTTTACCTCTTATAATAGATCCAAAGTGTAACCAACCAACCACCACCCAACCAAACGCTTCAGCAATAAAGCCCCCAATTATCACCACAAACGTCATAACTACCKATAGAAAACAAACAACACACATAAAAACTAGACCAAAACCAACCCCGAAACAAGTGGTCACCAGTTCACCCACTCAGCCAATCTCGACCGAGGAGAACAAGGCATTACAGAGTGACGATCCAAGAGAAACTTTGGAGCCTACACTTAGCACACATACTACGGCATCAGTTCCTGTTATGACGTCAGAACCAAGATCGGAAGTGCGGATGATAACACAGGAGGAATGTTTGCATGATCATGGTAAGGAYTTGCTAAAGACTGCGAGAAAAAAATGCGATATTTTATCGTTTGAAGGCAAGGATTTCTTTAGCTTGGGTGTAATGTTTTTCATTTCAGACCACGTGTCATTCCCTAGAGTATTATACCTTTGTTTAACGGTTGCACATGAGAAGACACATGAATATGGTTTGAACTCAAACAAAGAATTTTATTCTCAAGAGAATGACACGTGGTCTGAAATGGAAAAACATTATACGCCCAAGCTAAGGAGGTCTACTGTTGGGAACACGTTGCCACAAAGCTTTGCTTCTTTTTCCAGCGAAAAAATTATGCTTGCTCTCATGATTGAATCATCATTTTAAGATATTCAAATGTTCCTTGACGTACAATTTTTTTTTTTTTTTTTTTTTTTTGATTTTTTTTTTTTTTTTTTTTGACGTACGAATATTTTTTTCAGGTCTGCAAACGAGCTGGAACGTCGTCATACCTCTTCTCGTCATCATCGTCGTACTTGTCATCATGAACAGTTTCGTGATTTGCCGGCTAAGGCAACTGCATCCCATGGCCAAAAATCCTCTCGAAGAAGATGGCCATTTTAACCCGAAGAAACAATCTTTTAGTTATTTCGAAAAAGAAGAAAAGAAAACTTCGATTCCTGTGAGTGTGTGAGCTTTAAATACGCCATAGTAGATTTATTAGAATGGAGAAGATGGTGGCATGTTCCGAGAGAGATACTGGATCGATGCATGAAAGGATGGAGCTATGATGGTGGCGCTTCATGAAGGAGAAGTGGAGATTTTGAACGCAAAAATTATTATTTATGAAAGTTAAGGCAAAGCTTGTGTCATATGAGGGAGAACTACGAGTCCCATGATGCAGTGCGTGGACAACTAGAGTCGAGAATGGAGGAAATAGGAAATAATGAATCAAGAGACGGGCAATTTAGTAATGAATTACAACAGCGAGGATGTTTACTTTAGACTACCTGTCCCATGTTGCATTGCACATTTTGAATCAACCGATTGTGGATTAAGATAAACTGCATACGAAAGAAAGTGATCAAATGAAAAAAACAAAGATAAAGTCGCGGTGAAGGACGTTTGGTTGGAGCCAGGACTACAAGTTCCATAATGCATTGCGCGAACCATCTTGAATCAAAAATGAGATCGAAAAATAAGGAGGATGAACACTCATGGTATACGTTCAGCGTAAGGACTACAACTCCCATGATACCTTGCGTGGTCCATATCGTTTTTCTATCTAAAATTCGTGTTGACCTTAACACTGGGATTGGGACTCCCGAAATACTTCGAAGGTAACTCAACAAACTGCTATATGGAAAAAGATGATGGAAACTTGACAATAAATTTGAACCTGAAATTAACAATACAGGTTTGAATACACTATTTTGACATTCGATGCATACCGCTGTTTTTGAAGACTACAGACTCATTTGCACAGGCTTTGCCTCGTTTATAAGTCAGCCATACATAGATACCATTAAAAGTCCATGGGATTTCAAAACATTGATATTGTTCAAGCTGCACATTCTTTACATTACAGTTGACATTGGAAAATTGCTCTTAAACGAGACTAAGTTTGTCCAGATGAGTCCTTTAGTCATAAAACACAGCGGTATTTACTGAATGAGAAAAGAGAATTTGCCATGGTTATGACTGACTACCTAATATGGAATTGTGTATTACGTCACACGTTACTTGGCCAATCACGTTCAAAAAAGTCCATACACTAACATASTGTTACTAAGCATGCGCAGAAGACTTAAGTTGTCCGATTTAATATATATATAATAGATAACATGCTCTAACTGATTTTGTCAGTTTTTAAAATATGCCAATCTTTAAAACGTTTAATTCTTTTTAGGCGACTAACTTTTACTTTGCGACCAACCTCTATTAAGCGACCAACCTCTATTAAGCGAC